TCTGTCGCGAGTACCACATATCCTGAACAGGAAATTAAAGCGTTTAAGAATAAGAAATCGAAAGGTTTTCTCTGACCTGAACTTTGAATTTGTAAGAAATTTTCTCCTGTACACAATTTTCCATATTCATCTGGAATACGCAACGATGTTGGCGTCGGTGGTTCATTTTTATTTCCTTTATGTCGATATAATGTAGACCTAAGACTTTCAAAACTGGGTATTGCGGCTGCTATTTGTGGATCAGTAACAACTTGACTAGATGCTTGAAAAGCAGCGTATGAAAGTTGATGCTCACATCTTTTTCTCATATCAACAACAACTTTTTCAACAGCAAGTTTTTCTGGATCTGGACCGTGAAATCTATAAAACGCACCTCTTAAAGGAACCTACATTCGCACAGCCGAGATCCAAGATAAAAAAGGAAGGAACCATCGCCACCAACATCGTTACGAAAACTTGTATTCCGGATAAATATGGAAAATTGTGTACAATTGAAACAAGACAAATTTTCTCCTGAAAATTTCTTACAAGTTCAAAAAGTTTGAGTAACAGAGAACCTTTCGATATCAATCAGTCCTTATAACATAATCTTCAAAATATCGGTCATCAAGAGTATGTGGATGATGCTGTTCAAAAATATTGTAAGCTACGCTATTTCTCCTTTTACTGTATGATAAAAGATTACTAACCACTGAGAATTAATCTCAAACAGTGGTGACGGAAACAATTTAAATGTTTCAAAATATTTTGAGGAATGAGTTGTGTAATTGAAAACGTACCCAAATAAGACGCATTAAACTAAGACACACTAAAATAAAAATGCGCTCAAATGGGACGCACTCAGGTGAGAACGCACTCAGATGAGAACGCACTCGGATGAGAACGCACTCAGATGAAGCTCCACCGTCAAAGTTTAAAAAGATCTTAGTTGATCGCTTCGCCTGTGGATCCTCATTCATTACTCACCTTTGGAATCTAAAAGCCACAGTCATACATTAATAGATGAAAAATTCACATTTTATACAGTTCGTATTTCAGTTTAATGTCAAGTTTCGAACTGATATCTAATAAAAACATATAGATATTACGTAATAAAGTAGCATTAAAACTAGGAAAAAGGAATATTTTTTAAATATGGTTTTGCTCGATGGATTCTAACATATTATTTTCAGTTTTTGAGCTGTTTATGCATCATGTTAGGTGAATATTACTCTATCTTCTTTTCTCTACCTCTTTTCGCGACCTTAACTCAAAACTCATAAACTTTAGACATATTAATTGAGTTTTGTTCGTGGTTTAGTTTTTTCTGATGTGTTTCTCTCTCCTTCTCTCTCTCTCCCTATCTCTCTTCTTTCTCTCTCTGTCTCTCTCTCTCTATGTTAATCAAATGTCTAAAGATATAAATAAAATAAGAAGAAAAGAGTACACGGCATGTTCTTGTCACATAAAACACATGGTACTTGTCGTTTTGTTAATTGGTTTTTCTAATATAACGAGAGAAATCTCTTGATCGACGTATGACGTTGTTTATAACTTTTCAGAAAAAACTGAATTATACCATTTAAAAATGACTTCCAAATCAGTCATTTATTGTTTTCTTAGTAGCAGTAGTGTTTACCATCTTTTTATTGTCCTCTAGTTACACTTGAGATGTTCCTGTTTTGTGATATTTTCATGTATTATTAAATCAATTTGTTAAAAATTCTTTTTCAAAATGAAGCTTTTGTTAAAATTATCTGCATATTGTTTAATCCATATCATATTTCTATTTAGTTGACTTATTCATTATTATTTGCTATGCTACGGAAATTTGTTTTAAATAAAATGAATACTTCAACTTGACAAAATGTTTAGAAAAATTTGTTTTATTTATATTTTTAACGGTACTACTACTACTACTACCACTACTACTACTACTATAACAACAATAAAAAATGAGAAAAGGAAACGTGTGGAATTGTTGTGTGTTCAAACAACTGTCCTCTCTATCAAATATGAAATTTTGTTTTTCTTCTGTCATATGTTAAATAATCGGCAAAAAAATTTAAGTTGACATTTCTATTAATTCCCACTAGTCGATTCTTGATGTTTCAAAGAGAAATAAAAGAAATACATAACACCAGCATTAACGAATATGGTTCTTAATGTCGTTAAAAAAATTTGATTTAAAATAAGATTTTGAAGTGAAGAAATCAATAAAATTATTGTATTCTACTATTATATTAAGTCATAAACAGTTTCACTATTCTATTTATATATTATACTTGATAAGATATAGATAAGAAAGATATGAGAAGAGAATTTTTTTGAAGAGATAAAAGTTTGATTTTTTTCATGTATAAAAAAATGCATGTATTTTATCTTTCTTATTGATCTGTTCAAAAGTTCGATTGCTTTTTTTCTATAATAATTGTCTAGTAAGAGAACAATATTAGAATAATAGCATCTGATCTAATCTATAGTAGAAACATAAATCTCTCATCGATAAGTAAATAAGTTGATAATCTTATCACTTTTGCTCATTTGTCAAGTATTCGAAGGTCAAAGGAAGTAGTGAAGTCCATTAATCAGCATTCAATACATTTTTCTCTCTCTCTCTTTTTCGCTTCAGAATCAATTGATAATAAATTAGATTGTTCAACTGACTATCAAGAGTAAAATACAATTCAGAATATTTCAGAGACGAAAAAAAAAAAATGAGTAAAAAAAAGATTTTATAATGCTCGATGAGAACGAGGTCTTCAGTACTACACTCAATTATTCAAGAGTTATTTTGATCGTATAGATTAGATAAATTAAAAGTTTTATAAGACAAACTTCATTTTCTAGAAGAAGTTTACATTGCTCTATAAAATGACATTGACGATGAGCGCACAGGTTGATTTTATGCAACAGTCGTGTTTTTCTACACTTTTAGATTATCATTTTCTACCTCCTTGTCATCCGAATACAGTTTAATTCTATTGATCAATAGTTTAGCTTTTAGATAAGAAAAGTGGAAGTAAACTGTTGTGCTAATTATGATCTGGTGATGTGGGTTAGTCAAAAGACAGAGACTACTGTGTTTGTTTTTTCTTTTTCACACACACACACACACATAAAATTTACAAAAATAATAGTAATATAAAGATGAAGCACATGTTATAAGTCAAATGACATGAGCGAGTTTTATATACATAAGCTATTATTTGACATGTTGATAATCATCGCTTGTCAGTAATTTATCTTATTCAAAAAAAGAAAGAAAATAAAATGAGTATTGTACATGTTGCTCTGTTATTTTATATTTTGATCGAAAAGTTTTGACGATAGAAATATTCACGTCATTATCGTTATTTTAGATATGTGTTTTTACACGAATAATGATGATGATGAGAAAGTGTTTTTATTGTTTTAAGTTTTCTCATAAAATCCATTTATTATCATATATGAAAGAGAAGAAGAGAAAAAGAACTATCTTCAAAAATACAATGTCAAAACATATACACTTTAATCTTTTCATTGAAGAATTGATATCATTTTTATCTTACAGGCATGTATAAACGAAGATCCGCCAGAAAGAAGATAAATTAGTAATGAAAAAACAAAAACAAAAAAAAATCTATATCTGCCTTTTATTCTCTAACTGAAATCAAAAATGTTTTATCTCTGTATATTGAGATTATTTATTTCAATTTATTAGATAGAATCTGTTGTTTTTCTATCTAAAAAATCTTGTCAATCATGTTTTCATTCATAATCAGAAGATAAACATTAAGACAAAATATTTTTTATAGAAAACTTCACTTTCTAATATATGTTAGATTATGACATGTATAGGTGTTTTATAGCCTACGAAAATGTTAAAACTAAAAGATGATAATCTAAGTTATTCTGTTACAGAATTATTACTGCTGTTATAAATGAAATGATCAAGTGTTATACAATAATATGTTTTCAATAAGAATAAGTACTACTTGAAGTTATTTTATTTGAATTAGTTAAAAACCCATTAAGAAAAAAGAGCACTACGACATGAGAATCAATAAACAGTTGTAATTTACATAATCTATTTCTCTTTTTTCTTCTCTCTTTTCCACCGCCCCTCCCCATCTCTTCTATCATACATTATGTGGCTACAAACCCAATTATACATATTTGTATTATAACAAAGGAGAGGAAGAGAAAAATGTCGTCAAAACTGAAAACATAATAAATAATAAATGGAATGTATTTAGGAAACAATTTTAGTGTGTGTATATATAAACAATATTATTTATTCTCGTTTCTATGATCGTACTACCACATTGCAATTTTGCAAAAAAAATTAAAAAATAAAAAAACGAACATTGTACTGTTCAGTATGGTGTTATCTGTATTTTTTTATTCATTCTCAGATTTGTATGTACACAACAAAGATTAAGAGAAGAAAAAAACAAAATCTTTTGTATAACAGACTAAAAAACAAATAAAAATAAAAATAAACTGTATTTAATGACCAATTGCGCTATGATCAGTCGTCAAATTTGAAGAAAACAAATAAAAAATACCGGGAGACTTGTTTATTTATTTGTTTTGATTTTTTTCTGACTAGAAGACACTACTGTTTCGTTCAGTGCCTGCACTGATTAAATATTTGATGGCATCGATAATTTTGTTTGTGGGGATTGTTGTGTTTCTGTCTGATATTGTTTATTAAATCGTTTAATGTCATTAATTATTAGACAATTTTTTCGTTGTAAACGACTAGTATGTTGATTATGATGTAAATAGTATAAATTTGTTGTTGAATAACATTGAAATTTTAATAATTGTATAAATTTAATTCGAAAATTACGATTAAATATTGTATAAACGAGAGGATTTATTGTTGAACTTACATAACCTAACCATGACAGAATATTTATAATTTGTATATTAATTAAACATTTTTTACATACAGCTTGTAATAGATTCATAATACAAAATGGAAACCAAGCAATAACAAATATAACAAATACAACTCCGAGTACTTTTACGGCTTTTTGTTCATTTCTTACCGCTGAACTTTTTGATCGACTACTAATGTTGTACGGTCTTTGACGTAATCGTCGTCGTTTTAACGATGGTCGACCATTAAACGGTTTTGCTGTTCGTAATTGTAGTTGTTGACGTTCATCAACATTACTACCATGCATACACTGACGTACATGTTTAAAAAAATTAATAAATGATTTTGATTGTTCAGTTTGATTTGTGGTTAATGATGGCGTTGTACCACCTGTCTCAATTAATTTTTGTTTTTCAACTTGTTGTAATTGCTGTTGTTGTTGTTGTTGTTGTTGTTGATGATGATGTTGACATGTACATTTTAATTGACAAAATGGATTTTTTGGACATTGGGAATATTCGGCATGAGGTGAATGAGTTCGTTGACGAAATGAAGATGTGGGCGAAATACTAATTGTATTTGTTTGATTTACATCTGTTAAATCTTCTTCACTGTCATCTGATGATTGTGGTAATGAATTTTCAACAAGTTTAAGAATACGTCGATGAGTAGTACTAGTACTATTATTAATATCTACGATGGGTTTTGTTAATTCATTGTCTGAATTATTATCTGTTTCAATGGAACATTGATTAGCGTTTTTTAAACGAGTTCGTCTAATCGAATTATTTAACTTTTTCATTGGAATATATGTTTGTGTTTTTGTCGTTGTTGCTATTGGTATATGTCGTCGAAGAAATGGTCTTGCTACAAGACTAGCAGCTCTTGCCAATTGTTCATTAGCTAATTGAGTCTGACATTGTTTAATTTGTTTTTTTAATCTATTAACAGTTAATGTATACATGACAATAACAATACATAATGGTATAACAAATGCAACAACAGAACCATAAATTATAAATATATTATTATTTAATAAACATTGACCATTAACAATAACATTATTTGGATTAATTATTCCCAAAAAAATGATTGGTGATGAGAGAAAAATAGCTATGAACCATACAAGTATAATAAGTCCCCATATTTTACATTTACGATTACGATTTCGTGCATTCAATGGATCTTCTATCGCTAGATAACGATCAATCGATATAACAACAATATGCATTATCGATGATGTACATGAACATACATCCAAAAATATCCATAAATCACATATCAGTGGACCCAATATCCATAAACCTAAAATAATATAAAATTTCATTTTTTTTTTAATATTTATTCTTTTAAATATTTTTCAGATCTTTACATGTAGTATCGATCACTTTGTTAAAACAATAATATAAATTATTTTTATTTTCTATTTTCACTAACTAAAAGTAATTTAATTTAGATTTATAATGTTCTTTTTACCTGTAAATTCTTTAACAATAGCTAATGGTATAACGAGTCCACTGACAAGCATATCGGCTAAAGCCAATGAAAATAGAAACCAATTTGTTATATTTTGTAATTTTTTTTCTGTAGCTATAGCTAAACACACTAGTAAATTTCCAATAATACCAATAAATGAAAATGAAGTGAGCAATAATGCGGGCCAATAATATGAATAATTTGTTGTTGTTGCTCCTACTACATTTTCATTTAAAAACGACGAGACATTTGCGTTCATTTAAGTTCATTTGTGTGAGAATAATAATATTTTAACAATTATATTTTAAAAAATGATTTAAACAATATAAATAATAAAAATATTTTCGATTAATAACGACAATTAGCATAATGAGTTCGACGTACACCATCACAGACTTTCTCGTTCTCGTGTATTATGAAAAAAATCTGAAATAAGAGAGAGAGAGAGAGGGAGAGATCAATTATACAGTATCTAATATATATTTTTTCGCTCTCGTTTCCTTTTCTAAATATCTTTAGCTAATAGAGAACAAAAACTCAGAGCAAAAAGAGAAAAAAAAAAAAAAAAAAAAAAAAAAAAAAAAAATTTTTTTAAATTTTTTAAAAAAAAAAAAATTTAATATAAATTTATTAATTATAAAAAAAAAAAAAAATATAAAACAAAAT